CAGGCCCAGTCCGGCCGGCTCGGGCTTCTGCCTCCCGGCTCCCCTCTCCCTTCCCCTCCTCCTCCTCCCCCTCTCCCGCTTGCTGGTCCCCTCCGGCTGCCCCCCGCCCGGCCCTACAGCAGCGACTCCTCCGAGGGCGGCGGGGGGCGGCGGAAGCGGAGCGTGGTGGTGGTGGGGGTCCCCAACCCGCTGATGTGGCTCCGCACCCGCCTCTACTTCTTCCTCATCCGCGCCTACTTCGACCAGGAGTTCAGCATCCACGAGTTCACGCAGGGCGCCAAGCAGGTGAGGCCGGGCTGGGCTAGCGCCCCTCTGGCCGGTTCCCCCGCTCCTCAGGCTCCCCTCCTACCTCGCAGGGGGGTTGTGAAGAGACAGTGAAGGAGGGGAGAACCTTGTAGGTGGTGGGGGTTGCCAGTCTCCAGGTAATGGCTGGACCTCTCGCGAGTCAGCCCCGTGGCCTTCCGTGCGGGGCTTCCTTTCGAGTAAAGCGCGCTGAAGCCCCTGGCGAGAAAAAGGGGCGAGCGGAACCCTCGAGAGGCGGAACCCTCAGCGCGGCGCTCCTGTTCCCGGCCGGGCCCGTTTTAGAAGCGGACCTCGCGGGCCGTCGCAGGGGGGTGGGGATGACGGCCGGGCTGAGGCGGGCGGCGATGGTGCTGCCCGCGGGGCTCTGCTCCTACAGCCGGGGGGCCGCCGCGGCCCACCCCCGCCGCCGCCTCCCATGAACAATAAACTGTTAAGGATTAAAAGTATGTGGACAAAAACCATCAATAAATAAAGTGGGCGTTCTACTTCCTGTGACTGGTTAGACAACTACTCCGATTGACAACTGTTTTGTTTTCCCTGTGCTCTACACAAGTTGGGATTGTAGGCGGTGAGGGTTGCCAGTCTCCAGGTAATGGCTGGAGATGTCCTGTTCTCGTGACTGATAGCACAACTCAGTGGGACAGGCTTCCTTGGGAGGGGGTGAGCTCTCCTTCCTTGGGGGTCTTTAAACAGAGGCTGGATAGCCATCTGACAGCCGTGCTGATTCTGTGAATTTAGGCAGGTCACGAGAAAGGGAGGGTTGCCTCGGTGCTGAGTTCTCGTGGGCCTTTCTTACATGCCCAGGGAAATGCTGGTAGTCACTTTGGGGTCAGGAAGCAATTTTTCTCAAGGCCAGTTTGGTTGGAGTTCTTGGAGGATTCCCCCCCCCCCATCTTCTGGGCATGGAGCAGGGGTCACTGGGGGGGGGGGGGTATTTGTGAATTTCCGGCATTGTGCAGGGGGTTGGACTAGATGACCACGGAGATCCCTTCCAACTCTCTGATTCTCTATGATTCTCCAGATGATCAGTTCCCCTGGAAAAAATGGCTACTTTGGAAGGTGGACTCCATGGTATTGCCATGGCACCTAGAAATCTCATTGTGGTGCCTAGTGTTTTCCAGCAATTATTTCATTGTAGTGTCACTTAGCAGTTTGCAGTAGAAGTACAAAAGGTTGGGTGCAGCCTATTTTTTCCACTGATGATAAGGAGAGGAAGGTAGGCTATTTGACGGCAGAAAGGTCTATGTTTGGGTTCTGCATGGATGAAAATCCACGAGGAATAGAAGTTTAATAAGGAGGGGATTGCTGAGGATTGAGCATAAAAGGTGGCTGAATCCAACCCAAAGCGTATAATTTTGTATCAAAATGTTGTAGGACATAAAGATAAATGTGCATGAATGAAGTTATTGTCATCACCTTGAATCCAGATTTCTGTGCACAGAAAACAGTTTTCCTGCCTGTGGTAACCCTGTGGTAGATAGAGTAATTTGGAGGAAGGGAACTGAACTCTTGTTCTTAGTATGTTGTTGTGCTCTCAGGTCTGATAGGAGACCTGCTGGCCCTTGGTTGTTTTATTTCCTCCATCAAGTCACAGCTGAAATATGGTGACCTCTCATGAGGTTTCCAAGGCAAGAGATGTTCAGAGGCGGTTTACCATTGCCTGCCTCTGTGTGACGACCCTGGACTTCCTTGGTGGTCTCCCATCCAAATATTGCCCAGGGCTGACCCTGCTTAGCTTCTGAGATCTGACAAGATTGGGCTCGCCTGGGCTATCTGGCCCTTGTGCTGCTGATAAATGAAGCAAAGCTGGGCTGCTTTGCAGGTGAAGCAGAGGTCCTCACATACTCAGGGGTGTCCCATCGTGGAGCAACCTCTCCCTCCTTCGCTTGGGTGTGCTGGGACGAGGGAGGAGGGAGCATCGGCCGTCCAGTGAGGAGCGAGCCAGCTCGGAGGGACCCTGGGGCGCAGGCCTGTGGATGGGAATGGGCCCCACTGGCGGGAGGCACAAGGTGGACAGGGACAAGGGCCAGTGGAAAGAGGCAGGAGACACGGGAGGAGGGAAGGCAGGCTGGGGAAGGAAATAAAAGGGGAGAGGACGCCAGCACCGAGGAGGAGCCAAAGGGTGTGGCTGGGCCGAAGGCCAGGGACCAGAGAGACGGAATTCAACAGAGCCCACCTGGCCAGAACCCGAAGGGAAGGGACCTGGAGGTGAAGTAACCCTGGGGCCCCCCTAGTCTGCGGCGCACTGCAGAACCCTGCAAACCTCCCCCCAGCATGGCGGAAGGCAGTGCCCCCCTGACCCCTCAGCCTGGGAGCGACAAAGGGACTCCCCAAGTACGCAGCAGAGGATGTGAATTAATTGCAAAAAAAAAACCCAGAAAGGGCCTGGTGAGAATTGAACGGGAGGAGGGAAGGCAGGCTGGGGAAGGAAATAAAAGGGGAGAGGACGCCAGCACCGAGGAGGAGCCAAAGGGTGTGGCTGGGCCGAAGGCCAGGGACCAGAGAGACGGAATTCAACAGAGCCCACCTGGCCAGAACCCAAAGGGAAGGGACCTGGAGGTGAAGTAACCCCGGGGGGGCCCTAGTCTGAGGCGCACTGCGGAACCCTGCAAACCTCCCCCCAGCATGGCGGAAGGCGGCGCCCCCTGACCCCTCAGCCTGGGAGCGACTAAGGGACTCCCCAAGTATGCAGCAGAGGATGTGAATTAATTGCAAAAGAAACCCAGAAAGGGCCTGGTGAGAATTGAAAGTGCTCCAAGAGGACTGGAATGTTGAGAGCACCCAGGTGTCGTTTGTTTTGTGGAGGGGAGAGAAGAGCTGCCTTGTCCAAAGCCCTGAAAGCTTGCAGATTGGAGGATTTTTGGTAGCATTTCCAAATCGTCCTCCCCCTTCTCACCACCCCTTTGGCCTTCTAGCTGGTAGTTATTTATAAAGCACCTAAAACTGTACAGATTGTAGATGTCAGTCCTGCCCTCACCTTTCAGGTGAGGCATCGGATGTCCAAATCCATCTTGGCCTCCCTTACTGGCAGCACTGATATTTAATCTAGTGGATTATCCAGCTGCGGCGCTCTAAAATGTTGCCATCCGAGCTCTGTTACCAAGGCAAGCTTGATCTGGCTTGCTGCATTTTAATGTTAATGTTATTGTTCAATGTCTATTTATTGTTATGTTAGTCACGATTTTTATGTGACTTTGTAACCCACCCTGAGCCCGCTTTGATTGTATATCTCTCTATTTATTTCAATGCTCCCTCTAAGCTGTGGAGTCTTGCGAGCAAATATTCTACTTGGTGAGCTACCGGCATTAAAGTTGTGAGCGAGCAATTTGGCTACTGCATAAATTAGTTTGCTCTGGAGCCATCCTTCCTGAGCTGAGACAAAAATGTGTGAGCTGGAGGCTAAAAAACTGTGAGCTAGCTCTCACCAACTCAGCTTAGAGGGAACACTGGTGGTCTCCCATCCAAATATTGCCCAGGGTTGACCCTGCAGAGGTCCTCACATACTCAGGGGTGTCCCGGTGTGGAGCGACCTCTCCCCCCCTCGCTTGGGTGTGCTGGGAGGAGGGAGCATCGGCCGTCCAGTGAGGAGCGAGCCAGCTCGGAGGGACCCTGGGGCGCAGGCCTGTGGATGGGAATGGGCCCCACTGGCGGGAGGCACAAGGTGGACAGGGACAAGGGCCAGTGGAAAGAGGCAGGAGACACGGGAGGAGGGAAGGCAGGCTGGGGAAGGAAATAAAAGGGGAGAGGACGCCAGCACCGAGGAGGAGCCAAAGGGTGTGGCTGGGCCGAAGGCCAGGGACCAGAGAGACGGAATTCAACAGAGCCCACCTGGCCAGAACCCAAAGGGAAGGGACCTGGAGGTGAAGTAACCCCGGGGGGGCCCTAGTCTGAGGCGCACTGCGGAACCCTGCAAACCTCCCCCCAGCATGGCGGAAGGCGGCGCCCCCTGACCCCTCAGCCTGGGAGCGACTAAGGGACTCCCCAAGTATGCAGCAGAGGATGTGAATTAATTGCAAAAGAAACCCAGAAAGGGCCTGGTGAGAATTGAAAGTGCTCCAAGAGGACTGGAATGTTGAGAGCACCCAGGTGTCGTTTGTTTTGTGGAGGGGAGAGAAGAGCTGCCTTGTCCAAAGCCCTGAAAGCTTGCAGATTGGAGGATTTTTGGTAGCATTTCCAAATCGTCCTCCCCCTTCTCACCACCCCTTTGGCCTTCTAGCTGGTAGTTATTTATAAAGCACCTAAAACTGTACAGATTGTAGATGTCAGTCCTGCCCTCACCTTTCAGGTGAGGCATCGGATGTCCAAATCCATCTTGGCCTCCCTTACTGGCAGCACTGATATTTAATCTAGTGAATTATCCAGCGGCGGCGCTCTAAAATGTTGCCATCCGAGCTCTGTTACCAAGGCAAGCTTGATCTGGCTTGCTGCATTTTAATGTTAATGTTATTGTTCAATGTCTATTTATTGTTATGTTAGTCACGATTTTTATGTGACTTTGTAACCCACCCGGAGCCCGCTTTGATTGTATATCTCTCTATTTATTTATAAATAAATTATTTCATTTGCCACTAATGGTGTGTGTTTTCCATTTACACTTTGACTGTATATCTCTCTATTTATAAATAAATAGAGAGATATACAGTCAAAGTGTAAATGGAAAACACACACCATTAGTGGCAAATGAAATAATGTCCATTTACGTGCTTAGGCCCATTTTCTAAACCACAGAGCATATGTAAGTAATCTATCAGTAACAACAGCTTCCTCAGTGTTCCTGGAAAACCAAATAACTGGAACCCCCTCCCCCCATCTTGTCTTCCAGGCCTTCGCTATTGTTTCGAAGTTGATTTCTGAGTGTAAATACGAACTGCTGGAGGGCTTGATATCTAAAGAGGTAAAAAACAAAACAAAGCTTAATGGCCCTTGCTGGGATGAAAACGACTCCTCCTTGTTTCTTAATCTGCTTTTTAGATAAAATGATAAGAGAAGCCAATGTTGCATCAGGCCAATGGCCCATCCAGTCCAACACTCTGTGTCACACAGTGGCCAAAAACACCAGGGGCCATCAGGAGGTCCAGCAGTGGGGCCAGAACTCCAGAAGCCCTCACACTGTCACCCGCCCCCAAGCACCAAGAATACAGAGCATCACTTGCCCCAGACTGAGAGTTCCTCTCTATGCCTTGTGGCTAATAGCCCTGATGGACCTTTGCTCCAGATGTTTATCCAATAAGAGAAGCCAGTGTTGGATCAAGGCCAATAACCCATTTTGTGCTTCCTAACCCTATTAAAGGACATCGGGGGCTGCTTAGGGTACAGTTTGTGCAATATTTCCTCTCCTCTCCTGCATATCTCCAGGTGATCAGTCATTGCTGGCACAGCCAGAACTGAACTGGGTGGCTGGCCTCTGAATTGCTAAAGAGAGTGGGAAATGGATCCCCCCTTCTCCTACCTGTGCTGCTGCTGCTGATACCCACTGCTCCATCCTTCATTCCGTTCCAAGCTCGGGTACCACCTCTGCTTGGCCGTTGCTCTAGAAGCCAGACACAGGCCTGGTCTACACATGCAACTGAATGAGGGATAGGATGGGTATTAGGCTGCGGTCACACGCACTCAATAATCCACTTTCAAGGCACTTTCCAAGTGGATTTTGCCAGTTCACACAGGAAAATCAAGTTTAAAAGTGCACTGAAAGTGGATGGAAAGTGGATTATTGAGTGTGTGTGACAGCAGCCTTACTGTATTTTCAGACTGCATCTGAAGGAGCGTTGTCTTTTTTTTAATGTTCCCCATCTAAAAAAAAATCCCTGCAAATAAAAACCAGGAAACCAGTGAGAGAGAGGTGATAGCAGAGCTCTTAGCGTCCAGTGCTAGTTTTCCACTTTGAAAACTATTAAGGTTGGGAGTCTTTGGAAAATTCTGTCCTGCTGCCTTATTGTGCTGCATGTTTAGACCAGGCCTTGATTTGGCCTTTCCAGGATTCATCCAAAGAGCTCTTCTTAGTGGCTGGGCTGAGCAACTGGAACATATCACAGAGAAATGCCTATAGAGCCAGTGTGGTGTCCTGGTTTAGACTGTCAGGCTAGCATCTGGGAGGACCCAGGTTTGAATCCCCACTCTGCCCTGGAAACTCGTTGAGTGGCACCTTTTTGCTCTCACCTGCTCTCTCAGCCTGACCTACCTCACAGGGTTGTCGTGAGGATACAGCAGAGGAGAGGAGAACGATGGAAGCTGCTTTGGGTCCCCACTGGGGAGGAAATGGGGAGGGGACACACAAGAAACCATGGGGGAGGCCGTGTGTGCCTACATGAGGTGTTTTGTTTTTTTAAATAATTTCCGTCCCCCACCCCCGACTTTTTAAAAGCACCCCCAAATTAAAAAATCCTGGCTACCGGTGTCCTGTCCAGTGCAAGCTGTGCTAGCCAGCACGTTCTAGGTGTGAGTCAGCGGCACGACTACTGAGGAAAGCTTAAATCATCTTTATTCATATGATAGACAGAAGATTAAGGCATGCAAAACTTGATCCTTCAGTCTTCGAGTTCTTCTTAGGTGCAGAGCGGGACCACATCAGTGAATGGCCTGGTAAAAGTCATGGTCGACCAGGGGCAGGGTTGATGAACAAAGAAACGGAAAAGATCCATAAAGTCAGGAAATTGCTCTTAATGAGCCAGTCAGAGGGAAGCTTCTGGGACCCCTAACTGCAAACTACAATTCCCAGGAGCAACCAGTCTTAAAGATACAGCACAGTTTTACTAAACTACAGATAACGCTGACTGGGGCAGCACACTCCCCGCCTGAAATCCTACTGGGTTTCACTACCCACATGCATTGCTAATGAAGCTGTATAACTATAACTGGGCATAATTGGCATGCTGCACTGCTAACTATATGATAGACAGAAGATTAAGGCATGCAAAACTTGATCCTTCAGTCTTCGAGTTCTTCTTAGGTGCAGAGCGGGACCACATCAGTGAATGGCCTGGTAAAAGTCATGGTCGACCAGGGGCAGGGTTGATGAACAAAGAAACGGAAAAAATCCATAAAGTCAGGAAATTGCTCTTAATGAGCCAGTCAGAGGGAAGCTTCTGGGACCCCTAACTGCAAACTACAATTCCCAGGAGCAACCAGTCTTAAAGATACAGCACAGTTTTACTAAACTACAGATAACACTGACTGGGGCAGCACAACCGGGGTGATGTGCTAGCACCTGTGCAGTTGGGGTTTTTTGAATCTGATAGAACTTCCAGGTCCTTCTGTGT